TTTCAAGCAACTATGTTGAAAAAAGTTTTTTTGTATCTCTTACCATTTTCATTTTAGAGAACTATTTCTGAACTGCGTTAGGGTGCACTCAAAAAAAAAATCAGTTTTTCAGCTCTAGATTTTTTTTATTCAAATTTTTCGAAAAAACTGTTTCCAGAGAACTTTTAGAACTCGTTAAAATACACAACTTTGCTCAAGAAATAAAATCTGTATATCTCTACTATCAAAAGATATTGAAGATTTTCTATACAAAATAGGCCCTTTTCAAATGTCAATCACTCAAAATGGGGCAAACGTACGGACATTTTTTAGCCATCTTTTGAAAGGGCATACTATAGTGTATATTATATGGGAAAACTGGAGATACATTTTTTCTTTATCTTAAGTTAAACTTATTTAAGTTCACTCACTTTTGCAATTAAATTTGGTAATAACTCCTTCTAAAATAGAGGAAAGACGATATTTTATAAGAAAAACGTGTGTCTAGCTAAACTACAAAAGTCTTTCTAATACCTTTGTGTTTTATGTAAAATTGTAAATTAACCGAAAACAGTCAAAAAATAGTTTTCAGAGGACCAACCAAACGGCAAATTTTAATGTGTTAGTAATTCTAATCCTTAGCTTAGAGTACTATTTTTTTCCTTATTTCTCGTCTTGTTCTTCTTCTCTCGTCTAAATTCAGGTTATTTATAAAATAACACTATCAGTGCTCCGAAAGAGCGCTCCGATAATAAGCTTATGTTCTTCTTTCGTTATGTTCTGCGATCTGTTTCTGAATGACGTTGGAGCAAGGTCAAACTGAAAAGTGTTCAGATTAATTGCGGTCATATTAACGGTACATGCTTTTTTACGTGCGTTTCCAACGCAACGTAAATCAACCCGAACATTGCATTAGGCCCAATGTAACATTGACAGATTCTCTTCGTCGGCTTTCTCTTTTGTTAATAACTTGGCTACAAAACCGTTACTTGTCCTGTTTTTGGTATGAGATGGTAGATAATAACTACTGTAATCAGCTAAAAATGACTTAACATCGCTGTGGGGATGCAAAGAGAAAATCGACGAAGAGAATCTTTCTATGTTACATTGGACCTTATGCAATGTTCGGGTTGAAACAACAGTTAAATAGTTCTAGATAGTTCTGCAGTTAGGGCCTAACAGCTTTTGTAAACAATGATTTCTCTCGATTATTTCTAGGAATTCAAGCCACGCCCACGCAAACCAACATAACCATCGGTTAGGGAAAGACTTCCCCTACCTGATGGTGATATTGATTTGCATGGGCGAGCCTTGAGCTTCTAGAAATCATCGAGAGAAGTCATTGTTTACAAAAGCTGTTACGCCCTAATTCCAGCTCTATCTAGAGTTGTCTGCTTATGTCAGTGGTTTCAGCACGTGTTTAGCATAGCAGGCTGGTTACAAACCACAATAGGTAATTGTTATTAGTTCGATTTGTGAAAATGTCTGCACAATTGCAACTGGAAATTGCATACAAAGCCTTAGCGGATATCCTTATATTGAAAGAGACATTGAATAACCTGGTTGAATTTGTGGAAGCAAGGTTGGCGGGTCTCTAAAACTAACGCCGCAGTAAAAGACAGGGAAAAGTATATTGCTTCAGAAATAAGAAATCGGCTGGGGCTTCGGATAGGTGAACCGCTGCCTGGAGGTGGAACGGACCAACCAACGACGGAAATACCGCCAGAAAATTTTTCCAACAATTATATGCGAAATCACAGGGTTAGACAGTGATATAATCGAGAGCATGCATGTGATTTTGATGATCGTGAACAGCCGTAAGCAAATTACGCAGTAGAAACGCGTAAGTTATATGTTATTAAATATGGATGGTATCCGCTGTCGCCAACGGTCCATAAATTATTGATTCATGGAGCGAGATTGATTAAGCACACCATACTACCGATTGGCATATGCAGCGAAGAAGCGCAGGAAACGCGTAATAAGTCGAGAATTTCACGCGCGAAAGTTCAATAGGCTTGTTAATATTGAAGATGTATTTTTGAGGTTGCTTTTGACATCTGACCCCCTGATCTCCCTTAGAAATAGAACTTCACCAAATAAATCTACTTTAGAATTACCAGATAATGCGAAATATCTGCTGGCGGATTAGATTAGTATTATTTTTAATTTTGATTAAATAAATTGATTAATTAATAAGGAATAAGATCACTTTTTTTGGGCAGGAATTTCATAACCTTTTCTTGACTGTTTCCTGTTAATTTACAATTTTACATAAAAAGGAATTGGAAAGACTTTTGTTGTTTAGCAAGACACACGTTTTTCTTTTGAAATATCGAAAGGAGTTATTACCAAATTTAATTGCAAAAGTGAGTGAACTTAAATAAGTTTAACTTAAGATAAAGAAAAAAATGCATCTCCAGTTTTCTTACATAATATACACTAGAGTATGCCCTTTCAAAAGATGGCTAAATAATGTCTGTACGTTTGCCCCATTTTGAGTGGTTGACATTTGAAAAGGGCCTATTTTGTATAGAAAATCTTCAATATCTTTTGATAGTCGAGAGATACAGATTTTATTTCTTGATCAAAGTTGTGTATTTTGACAAGTTCTAAAAGTTCTCTTCAAGCAGTTTTTTCGAAAAATTTGAAATAAAAAAGTTAGAGCTGAAAAACTGATTTTTTTGGGTGCACCCTAACGCAGTTCAGAAAAATAATCTCTAAAATGAAAACGGTAAGAGATACAAAAAAACTTTTTCCAACAAAGTTGCTTGAAATTACCTCACCAACAATATTTTTGAACAATGGGTGTCTTTATTTTTTCAAATAAGAAAGTTAGTTTTTGGTTTTCAAAAAATTGAAGGATCTCCCTAATGTTTGAAGGCACCAAAAGAAGGATAGTTTTTAGAAAAAAAAAACTTCACTGAAGACACCAAACGTCTAAATCCTTAAACAAAAGTACTATGGACTTTTGTCTTGCTAAATTACAATCCTGTACCACTGTGCAGTGGATTTAGGTAAATCCATTTTTTTTGCAAATTCCCGTATTGACAATCAATGACAAGTCAGGATTTGTATTACGTCCGTACAAAATCCGCTCGCACACGTGTTTTTCATGCATCGCCATCTTGAACACTAAACATGGAATGTAAACACCAATAAGAGTATTTTTCATCAATGACTCCCAGCTATACTGCCGCTGTGAATTTCCTATCTACATAGGACTGTTATGCGAATAGCGACAGTATACCTTAGCAAAAAATTTACTCCTACGTGCAATATTTCAAAAGTTACAGTGATTTGAAGGTGTCGGTTTCACACTGGTTCGGTTTCACACTGGGTTAGAGTGTTCGGTTTCGGTTTCACACTGGGTTAGAACTGGTTCCAACCCCGATAATAAACAAATTCGCTATAAGAGAAAGCGGAGACAACTGGCTTCTTACTCTTTTATCTCTATCTCTATCTATAATACGCACTTCAAATCGGCCAATCACGAGCCGGTTCGCGTTTGACAGAAAAGTGATTTGTTTTCGCCCCCGTATTGTCTACTCTTCTCTTAGATGTTTCTCAGCAACCACTGCGCAGTGGGTCATGAATTAAATCTAGCAGGAAAAAAAATAATAACGCTCTGAAATTGTATCCAATTGAGTTGACGTCTTGAAAACAGATTCTTGGATTAATTAGGACTACAATTTGATGGATAAAAATAATTCAAGTTTTGGCCGTAAAGATGGTTTGGCGATACAAACTTTCCATCTTCGACAACGTTGTAGAACGCAGAATTTTATGAAAAGTTTCCGAAGACATGAAAGCTGTACATTTTCAAACAACTTAGGTAGTGGACGGAACAAATATCTTGATCATTGAGTTCTTAACTCTTTCCGTTTTTGAATTGGTGGCCCTGAAAAGTAGTAGGTTGTTTTTTCAAATGGTGGCCACACCAGTGCAAGTCGACACCGACTGGATGACGGTGGCCTAGTCATGCTGCCTATTGCGGGGAGCCTTTCCTCCGGTCGATATGGGTGCTTTCGTCGTCGTCTTAGTGATGTCACATATACAGATTTATCTTTAATGAAAAGGAAAAGGAAAGTTGAAGTTACAAAGCTTGTACACAAGTCCGTCATGCCAAACATTGTCAAACGCCTTTTCAACGTCTAACAAGGCCATGGCTTTGTTACTTCGGATGTTATTCATCACCCGTACTAGCTGGTGATTGGTGGAGTGCCCCTTTCTGAATCCAAACTGTTCCGGAAGGAGAATGTTGTTTTCCTCGACAAACTTGAGCAAACGATTGAGAATGAGTTTCTCGAACAATTTGCTCAGCGCTGAAAGGAGGCTGATGGGTCTGTAGCTTGAAGGCAATGTTGGATCCTTACCGGGTTTGCGGATTGGTATGATTTTAGCTACTTTCCAGATGCTTGGAAATTAGTGCAGTTCCAAACATCTGTTGAAAATAGCGGTTAGAAGAGACTGCACTTTCATGCTGAGTCTCTTCAAGATCAAATTGAATATACCGTCAAACCCGGGAGCCTTCATGTTCTTGGAGCATTTCAGCGCTGAGCAAATCTGTTGTACTGTAATCATATCCGCCGGAGGCACGACACAAGGGGAGGCATCTAGGTTTTGAACGCATTGCGCAACCTGGTTTTCGAGCGGACTTTGGATAGTCGAGCCAAGCAAATGCGATGAAGCGACATGCTTGCCGATCGCATTTGCTTTCTCCTGTGGGGTGATTAGAAGCCGATCGTCATCATTTTCGACTTTGAGAGGTGGAATGGGTTTGGGATGATTTTTCAGGACCTTGGCTACCTTCCAGAATGGTCTGGAGCGGTCGTCCAGATTCTGGACAACACGCCCGATAATTTCATTTCGAAGTGAGTCCATTCTGGAAGCAATCTGCCTGTTCAGATCGGCCATTTCACGTTTTTTGCCCAGATCTCCAGTCCTCTGAAACTGGCGTCTACGAACATTTCTCAGGCGAATCAAAAGTTGGGTGTGGGAAGCAATGGCAATAAACTTACCCCTCACAGGAACTCGTTGGACGCACGCATCGTCAGCTACGGTTATGGCTTGGTGGAGTGCCTCCAACGCTCGGTTGATGTCCTCCACGGTGTTAAGCGGCGGGTTGTCGATGATGTGTCTGTCTATCACGCGTCCAAACTGGGCCCATTTTACGCGGTGGTAGTCCTTGTGCAGACTTGGAGCAGGGGCCACGTTGTAGCCCATTTCAGCCACCACCGGTTGGTGGTCGGAGCTGGGTTCATTCAAGGCTACCGGGTTGGACAAGCTGGTATTTGACAGGAACAGGTCTAGCGTCGATGGGTTGCCCGCCAGAGAGATGAATGTTGGCTCATTCGAAAACCAAACGGAGTACAGCCCATGCTGCGAGTGGTCGAACAGCAGACGACCGTTCTGGTTCTGCTGGTAGTTCCGCCAGGCCTCATGACGAGCATTTAGATCTCCTCCGACTACGAAGCGGGAACCGGTACGGGTGATGGTGGTCAGGTCCTTCTTGAATTTAGCCGCTAGTCCACTGCTGGCGGCACACTGTCGAGGGCAGTAGACGGCGATGAACTGGACGTATCCAGTCGACGACTCCACCTCCACACCAAGGGCGTCGATGATAGAGGTGCGGATATGGGACAGAGTGTGGTATTTGATTCCTTTCTTGACGACAACCGCAACACCACCACCCCTGGAGCTGGTGCGATCAAGCCGGATAATGTTGTGGTCAGACAACCAGAAGCTGTCGCCGGACTTTAGATGGGTCTCGGTTAGAAGACCAACGTCGATGCTGTGCTTGCGGAGGAAGTCGGCAAGCTCAATCTTTTTTGCTCTTACAGAGCAAGCATTTCAGGTGACGATAGTTAGCGGTTTAGACGCCATACTGGATGATGAGCTTACCGAGCACTTGGATCTGTTCGGGCTTATTGCGGCACTTACGAAGAGCACCGGACATGTTGACGAAAATTTCCATCAGTTCATCCGCTGAGAACAGATCGGGGTTGTTGTTTTGCGCTGTTGGTTGTCTCCAGAATCCAGGGGGGATGGAGAGCTTTGGCCAGCAGAATCACCGGAAGTTGCTTGAGTGGGATGCACCCGCGAATTCGCTTGCCTTTGCTGAGGAGCACGAAGAGGCGGGAAATCCTCCGTCCGAAATGGCGGGACTTTGTCCTTCTTGCGTCCTGGTTGGTTATTAGTTGCCGCCTGTTTTCGGATGCGTTTGAAGTCTGCGCGTTTGGAGCACTGTCTGTCGGAACCTTGATATGCACCACCACAGTTGGCGCATTTTAACGCCACGGCTCCATCCGCAGGGCAGTCAGAAGTGGCGTGTTCGTGAGCGCAGTTGCTGCAGCGTGGCTTTATGTTGCAGTTGCGAGTGCCGTGTCCAAAGTTCAGACATCGTTGGCACTGGGTCACATCGCGATGGCCTCCACGGTACGACTCCCATCTTACGATGATGGAGTACATTGAGCGAATAGCCTGCAGCGCATTCAGCGTCACCGATCCCTTCTGGAAGTGCATCAGGAAAAGACAATTTGGGTACGTCTTCACGTTTTCGTCTCTCCTCGTCATCCGAAAGACACCGGTTGGGGCCAGCTTGTACCGGTCCTTGAGTTCTTCTCTTGACGGCGATTTCGTATTCCGCTTTCGTCCGGAGCATCACCTTACACAGCTAAAAAAGTAGTGTAAATTTCTGTTCAATATGATGCACACAAATGGAGCGTCATATATCATATAATTTTACATTAAATATCATGTAAAGTTCTAGCACAATTCATGCAATGTAGCAAATATTGTATACAAAAGCCCATCTTTGTAAACAACATTGTTTACAAGTTGCTCGATTGTGTGAAATAAAATTTAAGTTTACGTGAATGAATGTTTACATCACAATTAAAATTCAGAATTTTTATCTGTGTAGTGCCGATCCTGCTGATCTTGTACTCAGCTGCGATGCCCAGCCGAAATCACCAATGTCGCTGGCGTGCGTCGCGGTAACATCGTCGCGTCCGCTCGTACCTACATGCTTCCATCAACATTTAACATAGACACATTAAGCAACGCTACTTCAGTGTCTGCTTAAGTCAGCATTTTGGCATAACCAGCAAGTATGGGAACGATTGCCTCCATCGTGTCTCACCGTAAATTGTTCAACTAAAAATGACTCCTCGTCAGCATGTTTCAAGTCAGGTAGCTGGTTACTATGCATAGAAATAAAGACAGCACATTCTAACTCCAACATCGGTTGTGTCCAGTTGTACAAATATATCAAATCCACGTACCGTTAAGTTATCGGTGAAGTTTCATCTGGGGCTGACTCGCTGGAAGCGAGTTGGGCCCCCCAAAAATATTAAAACCAGAGAAGATGCCACACATCAGACTGTCCTTGATTCTTCTTCCTCTTTTTCGTCCGCTTCACCGGGACTGGTTTGGTATTCCCAACATCGGTGGGAAGAGTAGCGTACCTATTCGAAATAGGTACACTCAAGCTACCCTCATCACTGTTCTTCTTTTCCGCTTTCTCACGGAGCCTGCTCCGGGAGCGGTCTTCCCATCACACGAAGCGACCGACACTACGCGATTAAACTGCGAATGTTTGGAACAAACTAGGAACTTTCGAACAACTCGACAGAGCGAGCAAAGACCGAACTGTACTGCTTGACGTTCAAGCAGAGAATCCATGACGAAAAAACGGTTTGGCAAGCGTTTTTATAATCGCTGCTTTTCTCCTCCCTTTCTTTCATTGGTGGAATGGTGGGCGATCAACTGAGTATTGAGCTCGTTCATGTGAGCATGCGCAATGTGTCGATGGTTCGATTTGCGTTCTATCGTTGCTTCCGTGTTTGGGATTTTCTGTTACATTTACACTGAATTAATTTTTTTTAATGTGACCCCCAGTATAGAAATTAAAGGCGTAGTCCTACGTCTAAAAAATCTTGAAAATGTATCCTTCTTATTTTAAAATTTTCCGAGTTTTTCTCAGCCGAAGCATGTCGAAAAAAAAAAAATCATGTGCTACATTCTTAGATTTTTAAATCAGGGATTTAGAAATTTTCCCAATCAGTGTTCACTCAGCTGTCGACAAAAACAGGTCACTCTCGATGTGTGCTACGCGATCGTCTGTTTTCTCGGCAGCAACCATTGTGTGGTCTTCCTCATTGTTCTTCATCAGCAGACAATACTGGACATTTACCAGTTTTTCAATAGTTTCTTGTTAAAAATCAACATTTGAAAGCGATGCGTAGCCATATTTCTGATCAATTGGTAGTAAAATTATTGAAATTGGACCAGGGGCAGCTGAGTTATTAACGTTCAAAATCTTTCTTAATTTGCTACATGTTCCATTTTCGGTTTTCATAAAGTGTACCCACATATAGAAATCAAAGACGTAGTCCTACGTCAAAAATTTTTAGAATCCTCTCTAGCATTTCCTTGAAGTTTTTCTTCATAATGTTTTAGAAATTTTCATCACGAAACTCTTGAAATCCACTCAACAATTCTCGTCCAATTCTGGAACTGAGTTCCATTTGGTGAATTTTCACTCAAATTTGACTCTTCGAAAATAAATTTTAAGGTTCGGAAATCCCTCTGTTTTTCGAAAAGGTGTTTGTCAAAATTGATTCCTTGTCTGTCAGAAATAAGTCTGGTGTAATAGCTAGGGGAGATTTCCTCTGCGTGATAGTGAAATTAGTATGCGTTGGCGAGCTATCAGTTACGCTTTGAAAAAGTAATCGAGAAATAACTACCAAATCCTTCTCTAATTCCTAGGAATTCTCTTTAATTTCTGAACTGCACATAGGCTTTGATAATGCCGAAAATCTTTTTTTTGTCTTCGGCATATTATTAAAAAAAATGTTAACGATTAAGGAATCTTGAATATTGGAAACATCCTTGATCCGCTGGTAGTAAAATATAAAGGAAATGTCTCTAATACTGGCCTGTAGATCTAAAGGGTGTATTCGATAAAAATGGCACACACATATTTACTCAGCAAAATTAAACCGATTATCGGATTTTCTTGAAATTTTCAGGGAATGATCAACTACTAATGAGTTGTGATTTACAAACTTTGTTTATTTAAATTTCGTCTCCCATCCCGAATGCCAGCACCTTCCTTTGCACTCCACATATCAAATTTTGTACAACCGATTCTCCCAGTGTTTTTGTTGTTTTTACCCAAATTTTCTTCAACTCCAGCTCTGTTTTAATAAATTTGGGATGTTTACGAAGTTTCGTTTTCATAATTGCCCAGAATTTTATCAATTGGGCGAAGTTCCGATGAATTTGGTGGGTTCATATCTTTTGGCACAAAATTGACTCCGTTTGCTCGGTACCACTCCAATACGGCAGGATGGTAGATCAGGCCAATACAGAGTTGATCCTTTGTGCTTCCTTATGAATGGCAAGAGACGCTTTTTAAGGCACTCTTCCGTGTAAATCGTATCGTTGATTGTTCTGGAAGCGATGATGGGAGCGCTTATTTCACCACATCCGCAAATCGCATGCCAGATCAGGAACTTCTTAGAAAATTTAGATAATTTTTCTTTTTCGAAAATCCTCCAGAACATCGAACTTAGACTTGGCAACGAAATATTCTTGCCCAGGAAGTTGACAGAAGCCGGCCTTGACGTAAGTTTCGTCATCCATCACGATGCAACACGATTTGGTGAGCAACTTCCGGGCAAGTTTCCGGGGGCGCGGATTTTCGCAGTGATGTTTTGTTTTTCATTCTGGTTTGGGACTTTTTGCTCCTTGTAAATATGTAACCCAGCACGCTTCATGAATTTCTGTACAAAACCGACTGACACCTTTGACTTTTTAGCGACATCTCGAATTGACATGTTTGGACGGTTCTTGAACTGTTGCACCGCTTTCCTGGCCATTTTATTGTCCATTGGACCACTCCCTTTCTTCTCTCGGGCACCCAGACGCATTTTGAAGGCTCTTATCACACGAGGCACAGTTGTATTTGCAATTCTAAGCTTTTTAACGATCCATCGGTGGGACGCCTCTGGATTTTAATTGTAAGTGCACAAAATTTGTTCACGGACAATTTCTTGTTTAGACGACATGGCTGGAACTACTGTATGAATAACTTTGAAACATGACAGATGCAAACAATACACTATGAATAAAGTTAACTTAAATTTTCAGTATTTACTCATACGGTTCAATGCATGCATTAATTCGGAAATTATCCATGGGCCCAATATAAGGGACAGTTAGGCCAACATTATAGATATCAACCCTATCATGGATTAAGAATCAGACTTTCTTAAGTGCATGTCCAACGATAATCAGTTATAAGAAAGGTCGGTTATCAATTACTTTAACTTTTATTCGAAATATCAGGTACAACCATATAACTCAGTTACAAAGCTACCGTTATGAGCATAAATGTTCCATGTTTTATGCAATCCTTAATCCTTATGGCCTATGGACATTTATGCGTGTAACGGCAGTAAGATTAGTTATTATTTTTACGTTAGGAGAGTAGTTATAACCTTTCTCATGTAAATATTTATCAAATTAAGTATAAACAGTTCAGGAATAAATTAACAGTGTTCTTAAATGCTCATTTCTAACTGCAACGTCGCGTCCACATTTTCTGACAGGAAAGCTACAGGATTCGAGACAATCCTGACATCACAATTGGGAAGCAAATGCTGGATAATTTCAACATCAGATCGTGTAACGGTCCCTCTGACAATCTCCAACCTCTCCAGAAATGGAAAATTCTGCGCAATTGCTTGCCATTCACTGGTCTTCCTTTCAACTGTGCAGAACGAGGCAATCTGAAAAAAAAACATAATTAATTTTATTTTTACAACGCGAACTACTTTGCCAACCATATTGTCTGGGATGAGAAGTTTGTGAACGCTGGGACAGCGAGCAAAACTCATCCAGGAAAAATCTTCACTCCGCAGTGAATTATAGAACAGCCGCAGCTCACGTAAGTGTTCCAAGCGGTTGAAGTCACAGCAGGAGAAATATCCCAGAATCTTCTGTTGAAAAATAATATCTTAAACTGGACGATTTCAGGAGGTTTATCTAGACACATACACATTCCCAGGAAACAGTCAATCGTCGTAGATTTAATAGATTAGCACAGACGAGAGAAGTCTCGTTATCTCCATCATCAGTGATCTCCAAGGATGTGACGTTTGGCATTTTCCCAGGAAGTATTTTGAAAAACTCTTCCACAACATCGATTTCAACATGTTTTAACGAAAGCTGCTGTAAACTGTTGAAACAATCGGCTAATTCAAACCCACTGTAGCTTATTGATACCCGGAATAAAAATAGATGCTGAAAATGAATAGCATAAGGTACCTACATGACGCAATGAAAAAATATTGCTGCCTTATAATGAGCACTTACTTTCAATTTCGGTAATTTGGACAGAAGGTGGAAGCCATTTTCGGGCAGAATGAAGTACAAGCGTACGGTTTCCAACGACGGGAATAATACGAAAGTCGATGCCAAAACTTCCGGAATCATCGTGTATCCTAGGGTGAGCTCCGTTAGATTGGAAGAAAAAGATTTAAAGAACTGTTCAGCCTGGTTCAGCTCCACTTCTGCCCAACACAGGACGGTCAGGTTTTTTAGTTGGGGAAATTTGACGGGTTTCGCACCGAAAGCATAATTGTTTGACCCATCTATCGCTATTCCTAGACTGCACAACTGTTGACTGTAGAAGCTCATCAACTGATTGAAATTGGTACAAAAGCGATTGCGTCCTAGATAAAGATGTTTGAGGTTGGGCGCTATTTGACACCAATCGAAACAAGCACGTTCCAAGGATTCAAATTCAAGGTATAGGGTTTCCAAATAAGGCATCCTGGGTAGGTCCAGTATTTCACCATCTTCAGGTAGATCATCGATTTCTATTATAGCCTGCACACGTAACTCTTTCAGCTTTACTATGCATTCAAACAATCTCTTTAGATAATCAATTTTGAAATTCAGGACCATCTCGTAGTAGCCTTTAATTTTTACGCATTCCAGACTCTCATGGAATGTCTCCAAAATAATTGGAATTACATAATCGTCATCTTCGTAGACTTCGAATATGATATTACGGTATTTGCGAATGCTTCCGGACAGTATTCGACATAGTTCACTTTTGTCGGATTTTTCTGGAATCAAGGTCAGGACGACATTTGCCAGAGATTTCCGAGAGGAGCACAGCACCATCCACTGATGGCATACCAATGATGCCTGCTTCCAATCCTCCAGCCGTAGCAAGGTAAAGATGTAGTCCAGAATCTTGTCAAGAATAAAAATCTATTTACTCATATCAGGATAATCACAAAATAGCGCACTAAAACTTACCTCAACAGGTAGATCGTGCAAACTTTTCATGATGCTCACGAAAATATTTAGACAACGGATTTGCAGGAAGGACTGTCGTTATGAACGTGTACCTAAAAAGTCATACTTATGACTATTTTTAATCCTGCTAGGGTTTTTACTTGACCTGATAAAAGATTCTACCGTAGCAAAATAAATTAAAATTACAATAGCAATAGAGATTTACACGTCCGGTTGATGACAATAAATAAGACAATAAATAACAAATCGCTGTCAAACTAATGTTTATGGTCAGACCGAGCAAGGTGACTACATATAGGTTAGAAATACTCAGAGGGAGAGATGGACGGATAGAATGTTTTGAGCCAAATGAATTGTCAAAATTTGAGCCAATCGATCATTCCAATTAGAATTTTTCCGAGGATTTCTTATTCTTACTAGAATAAATTTAAGAGTATTGCAATCGAACAGAAATTCAATCACCTTTATGTTTTGTGTGCTTCTCAAATTCAACTAGTTTTTGGAACCAAAAGCAATATTCTAACTCGATTGATTAATTGATCTTCGTTGGTTAATGAATGGCAACAAGAAATGTGCAAAATATTGCAATGCAATCAATTATTACGTAAATCGAATCAAAAATAAAAGACATTTGAAATACTAGCTTCTAGCAAGGGTTGCAAGATAATTTAGGAACAAATCCCTGCTGCCGAATTGTATTTTGTTTTCTCCGCCTATCTCTCCCTCTGAGTATTTCTAATGTGGACCGTACACGATTGCTTTTATTTAAAATAATCGTATTGTCAATACATTTTATATTGACGTCAATACATCGGTATTGACAATATTTCTGTATTCACATCATCAATATTATTGTCAATACTTGTAAGTATTGACAATATTTCTTACCGTGTGGGGTTCGCTTAATATAGGTCAGAGTCGATGTTGTAATAAGAGTCCCGCCAAGAGAAAATGTTGCGAAGCAGCACTGTTTGTGATTTATTTTTCGTCAGAGTAACCGGCAGCCAGATTTTTTTGCGTTAGCATCGGATGATTTTCATTCAGAAGTGAAAAATTTCATGTCGATAAGGGAACATGCATAAATGAGGTAGCATTTGAGGGGGGAGGAGGGGATTTCAGAATTTGTGACCGGCCATGTATTGGATATAGCCAAATACGCTACGAAGGGGGAGGGGGGGGGGAGGGGTCTAAAATTGATCAAAATATGCTACGTTATTTATGGATGCTCCCTAACGGAGCTTCTGGGAGTCAAAAACAATTATAGAACCTGAAAAATGTTCAAACAAGTGCTTGGTATGACTTATAAATACCGCAATGTACTAAATAAAGCGAAGATTTTTTTTAAACAATTTGTTGATTTGGAAGGCTTAATTGTGTTAGCTTTACGGAACCGATAGTTCATTGTTCTTTGTTTGTAAAAAAATCACTAAATTCTATGTCTAGTAGGAGTTGGGCCGAATACTCGCGGCTTACCCGAGGTTAGAGAGATACATTGTCGAAGGATAGGATCAGGGGAAGAGATAGAGGTCAGGTTTCGTTGTCTCATCAGAGCGTTGTCGCCAGTATGAACGGCAGTGCGGTTCTAGTTTCGTCTGGAGTTCGACCGGCTATGGTGACCAGTGGGCGACGATGAGACTCACGGGGACAAGACAAACAAAAACTATTAAAGAGATACAAAAGACAAAGGAATTAAATTTTTATAATAGACATTTGAAGAAACACATAAACCGACTGCATATAGCAGATATCGCGAGTTCCCAACACGTCTCTGATAGGAATATAGGGTTGTCTTCCTTGGGCCTCGAGGGTATTCAAAAGTCGCTCTCTGGTGGTGTCATTATCCGTACATTGCCAAACTGCGTGATCGATGTCATCGTACCCGTTTCCACACCGACATATGTTGCTGTCCACGAGGTTTATTCTATTGAGATGGGCATCTAGCGAGTAGTAGGTTGTAGGTTGGACACAAGTCTACTCATCACGCGAATGACGTCACGACTTAAGCCCAAACCTTTAAACCACGCTCTCGAAGAAACATTAGGAATAAATAAATGTAACCACCATCCAAGATTTCCATTGTCCCAATCGGTTTGCCAACTCGAAAGGGTACTCGAACGCACTAAATGGTAAAATTCATCGTGTGAAATTTGCCTGTCATAAAATTCGCCTTCCTGCGCGCCTACCTTTGCGAGAGAGTCCGCCTTCTCATTGCCTGGGATTGAGCAATGTGAGGGGACCCATACAAACGTTATCATATATAATCTTTCGACCAGCACACTCATCTGCTCCATTACCTCTGAAAGGAAATAAGATGAGTGCCTACTTGGTTTCATCGACCGAATAGCCTCAATCGAACTGACACTATTCGAGAAGATGAAGTAATGGTCTGCGGGCATGTTGGATATCATCCCAAATGCGAAGTTGATTGCTGCCAGCTCAGCAACAAAAACGGAACAAGGTTCCTGGAGTTTGCGGAAGGCGCTAGAGTTTTCATTGAATACACCGAAGCCAGTGAATCCACTGAGACGAGACCCGTCTGTAAAATATCTGTTCACGCAATTGACGTGTTGGTACTTTTCAGGAAAAATACGTGGGATAATAATAGGTCGAAGTTGATCGGGAATCCCATGAGTTGCTTGTTTCATGGTCAGATCATATTCAATTGAGGAACTGCGATTGGTGAAGTGAGCATGGTCTGGAGTGCCATGTGCCGTGAATTGAACGGATAAAGTTGATCCTCTGTTTAAGTTGTTGCTTCAAATACGTAATATGGGTATTCCAAGTGCACTTTGAATCAAACCAGACCCCAAGGTACTTGAAAGAAAATGATTGAGTAATGTTTCTGCCCAAAATATTAAGCTGCATTTGGGCTGGGTACAGTTTTCGAGTAAACACTACCAGTTCAGTTTTCTGCGGCGAGAATTCGATCCCTAGATTCCTAGCCCAAGACGACAAGTTATCTTTGCAATGGTCCTTGCATCCGGACCTCTTACGGAAACCACACCGTCGTCTGCAAGTTGTCTTAGCGTGCATTGTTCTGCCAAACAGTGGTCGATATCTTTGACATAAAAGTTATAAAGAAGAGGGCTGATACATGAGCCTTGGGGCAGGCCCATGTAGCTTATTCTGGAAGATGTCAGTTGTCCAAGGGCAAAGTTCATTTGCTTTTCTGACCACAAATTGTACAAGTAATTATTTAAAATTCCGGAAAGTCCACATCTGTGCAGATTGTCTGACAGGATGTCAATGGAAACTGAATCAAAAGCCCCCTTAATGTCCAAGAATACTGAAGCCAATTGCTCCTTGTGCGCAAAGGCCAGTTGAATATCTATGGAAAGCAGCGCTAGACAATCGTTTGTTCCTTTGCTCTTGCGGAACCCAAATTGTGTATCTGTGATCGAGTTTCCGAAGGATCATTTTCTCCAACAATTTCCTAATGCACGAAAGCATCGCAATCGAACGGTGTGAGTTATGGTTAGACGCTTGTTTGCCAGGTTTTCGAATGGCTATTACTTTGACCTGTCTCCATTCAGGCGGTATAATGTTGTTTTCTAGTAAAGAATTGAATAAGTCTAGCAGGCGTCTTTTAGCGATATCTGAGAGATTTTTCAGAAGATTGAATTTAATCATATTGCTTCCCGGTGAGGAGTTGTTCGATGAAAGAAGAGCCATAGAGAATTCCAGCATTGTGAATGATCTATCCAGAGAGCTGCCGCTCGGAGACGCTTCTCGGAGAATGTGTTGTGCTGGAACTAAGTCCGGACAGACCTTTTTAGCGAAATCGAATATCCATCGGTTGGAGTATTCTTCACTCTCATTAGAAGATGAGCGGTTACGCATGTTGCGAGCCACCCTCCACAAGGTGTTCATTGAGGTTTCTCGTGATAGTCCTTCGAGGAAATTGCGCCAATAACCACGTTTTTTTGCTTTGATTAATTGTTTCCTCTTTGTCTCAAAGCTTTCAAAGCTTTGAAAGCATCAGATTTTTCTACATACAATTTTGTGCATTCTTCGTCCCATCCAGGTGTGGCTGGTCTCCTTTTGAAGGGTTCACTTGGAACTTTTCTTTTTTGTGCTTCCAATGAGCTTTTGTATATCAAATCGGCGAGGAATCGATATTCTTCCAATGGTGGAAGCGTTATTGTTGATTCGACACCGATTGTCACTGCCGTTGCATATTTCTGCCAATCTATGTTCCTTATAAGATCAAATGGAACTCGAGATGGTTCTGCAGAGTGAGGGGCACACTTAATTGAAATGATGATTGGCAAATGATCGCTACCATGGGGATCATTGATAACCTTCCATAGACAATCCAATGATAGCGATCTTGAACACAAAGATAGGTCAAGTTGGCTTTCTCGAGCCGGAGGTTTCGCTGGTGTCGCTTCACCAGTGTTCAAAATAGTCAAGTTGAAATCGTCGCATAAATAGTAAAAAATAGCCGCTCTATTGGCATCGTATAGATCGCCCCACCATGGAAGTTCATGGCATCTAGAATTAATACTGGGGATGGAAGATTAGAAACTAGATTCCAGAGTTTACTACGGTAAATGGAGGTTCTTGGTGGAACATAAACTGAAGCTATGCAAAGGTCTTTCTTCTTCACATTTATTTGGCAAGCGACGATTTTGACGCCTGATAGAACAGGAAGGAACGGCGCCAGTGGTGTAGTGGTAAGCGTGATTACCTCTCACCCCAGCAGGCCTGGGTTCAATCCCAGTCGGCGCCGCCGGGATGTTCAGAGGCATAACATCTCTGATCACGCCTTCCTTCGGATGGGAAGTAAAGCCGTTGGTCCCCGGTTCATGAGTTGATGGGTCGATAGGTAGGGTCCAGGTGTGGGAGCTGCCTTCCTGGCACGTCGGTAGCATTGGTGCTCAGCACGGAAAACAAGATCGACGGAAAAAACAAACCAAAGGAAAAAAAAACAGGAAGGAACATTTTGTAGAAAGGGTGGCACTTTTTGATCCCTAAAAGTACTCCTCCATTAGAATCGTCTCTATCCAGGCGAATAATGTTAAAATCGTGGAAGTTGAGTTCTTTATCGGAAGAAAGCCATGTTTCACAGAGAGCAAATATATCACAATCAGAATTGTGAAGTAAAAAATTGAACGAGTCTAGTTTAGGCACTACACACTAAGATTTTTTTACAGGAGTCAGTATTTTTTTACTGGGTTTTTGAATTGCTGAAAA